GTTTATATAAGCTTTCCTTAAGCTTATATAACACCCAATTATTCCAACCTAACCTATAAATTCAAGGAATTAACAAGATGAAATCAACTTACCTTTGCTTTGGCTCTCACGGTGAAAAGAAAAAAGAAGAATGGAGAGTTCTCTAGAAACTTTCCCTCATTTCCCACGTTTATATAGCCTACAAAAAGAAAGATAAAAATCTTTATTGTCAAATGACCATTTACCCTTATTTCTTTCATTCTTTACTAAACCATCCATCACAAAATGTTTCTAATAAAGTCCCTAAACTTTTAACTTATTTCAAAATTAAACCCAAAACTTTCAAAATTCATATTTTAGTTACTAGCCCTGTTTTAGGATGTTACACACATTGACTCTAGGTTGGCCGTTATACTTAACCTTCAATGTTTCGGGCCGACCATATGATCGATTTGCTTGCCACTATGATCTCTATGGCCCCATTTAATCTCGTCGTGAAAGGCTACAAGTTTACATATCCGATGCTGGTATATTTGCGGTAACTTATGTGCTCTACAACATCGCTGCAACGAAAGGGCTGGCTTGGCTTATGTGCATCTATGGGTACCTCTGCTCATCGTGAACGGCTTTCTTGTTCTGATTACCTACTTGCAACATACTCACCCGCGTTACCGCATTACGACTAGTCGAAATGGGATTGGTTGCGAGGAGCACTGTCGACGATGGATTGAGATTACGGGGTATTGAATAAAGTGTTCCATAATATCACAGACACGCATGTGGCTCACCATCTCTTCTCGACGATGCCGCATTATCATGCCATGGAGGCCACTAAATCAATCAAACCTATACTGGGAAAGTATTATTCCTTCTATGGGACGCCGGTTTACATGGCAATGTGGAGGGAGGCAAGAGAGTGTCTTTACGTCGAGCCCGACGAAGGCATGGTCGAAAAGGCTTTTACTGGTATCGCAATAAGTTCTGTGACCAACTTCCGGCAGCCCACCAGTTTAGATCGATGAAAGCGTACTTACTAGACTAGTGTTTGCTAGGGAAGTGCAAGTGCTGCGCTAATAAATTATGGAAGAAACAAATGTACCAAAATGAAAGAAAAGATGGTAGAAAAATATGGAAGAGTTGTCTTCTAGTTATTATGTTCTAAGTGCTGCATTAATAAACGATGGTAGAAAAACTGTGCAAGTGCCGAAATGTTTTTATGAACACTAATAAATCCTACTTCAACCATAACTTAGGGTGCTTAAGGATTTAAATTGAATTATAATTTTTTAAAGGGCTAAAAATGAAATTTAATCAATTTTCAAGAGGTCTAAGCCTCAGGCTCAACTTCAGCCACGCACATGCCAACCGCCTACCTGTATATAATTAAGGGTGAAGTACATAAATTATCAATAAAACTATAGTAAAATGATTTTTTAGATATTAAAGTTTTACAATTTATAAAATGATCATTATATATTTTAAATAATAATAAAATAATCATTAAATTTATTGAATTATTATAAAATGATCCTAATCTTATCGATATTTATTACTATTTTATAATGTGCAAGAATAATTTTATAATAATCTGATAAGTTTAATGATTATTTTGTAACTTTAAAAACTTTAATGACTAAAAGAATTATTTCAACATAATTTAGTGATTTATATAGTCTAACTGTAACTAAATATTTAAAATAACCTAAACAGATAGTTAAAGATATTGCTATGAGTATGCATTAGGAGACTCCATCTAGATCGAACAGACAATGGCTATGGCATCTGCTGATCTGCAAATGTACATTGCACCAATGGTCCACCGCCATTGACAAACAAGTTAGCTATACCAATAATTCCTAACTACAAGTATCTTCCCTATGTTCAATATTTATTATCTTTCTCCGTCAATTTCACCACGTTTTCCTTCCTCTTTTGCTCATAGAAGCATACTATTGAAGACGAGGCCAACCTAGAGGGTAACATAATTTCCCACAGCTTGCATCACATTTTCACCCGTCTACATAAAATGGGGAGATTCCATGAGATCCAGGCTATGGCATCTGTAACTGTACATTGCATGAATCCCAGAGACAGTTATTGGCTATGCCAATGGCTCCTCACTATACAAGTCTCTTCCCTGTATATATTATGTGCAAATGACATTCATTTCTTTGAGAACGATCTGTTTCACTTGCCGGGACTTGTGCAAGAATATGACGTGGATTCATTCAATATGCCGGTTGTCCTCTTGGAACGACCGCACTAACATGCTTGCTCGTGCCCACAACGATCTAGTAGCCATCTTGTTGATTTAGTTCATCCAACTAACCAAATGAATTTATTTCATTCTTATCGTCCTCGTCGCCTCCACCAGAAACAAAATATTGCATAATTTATTTCATCACATACTTTTTTGCTGTCATCTTACTTCGATTGGTCAAATTAAGGCAACAGTATAAGTCCTACTGGCCAGTAGCCACTGGTCTTTGTAGGTGAGCGTTTGCCCCATGAGAAGAGTACAAAACAAGTTAGCATTGTACTTGTAATGTCTCTAAAGTAGTTGTTCTATTTACTCTTATTATCACGTAAGATGTATTGTATTCTTGAGATTTCAATAATGCTACAGTCCAATATATATCAAGAGTCTCTATTGTACATATGATGGTAGTTAATGAGACTCATTTTCTTTGAGAACGATCTATTTGATTTGCAAGAATCTGATATGGATTCATTACCCCTTGCAAACAAGAAGCAAGGGAGATCATTGAAAAAGAAGGATCGTTCAATCTTGTTTCTTTTTAATATTCTTTCTACAATTCTTTTTTAGGTGGAGTGTGAAGATTGCCAGTTGCCGCTACTATATGACTTGCATTAATTTCTATCACATATAAAACTAATCCATTTTACACGTGAAATTAAATTCTATCACATATAAAATATAACACAATAAATATATAAAAAATATTATTATCAATGTGTCATTTTCGTGCCACTATCACCTTGTATTTTCTATCAAAATGCATAATTGAGATTCGTAATTTAAAAAAATAGATATAATATCTTGATTGTATAAATATTATTAATTTGTAAAATATTACAAAGTGATAATATTATTAATTTGTAAAATATTACAAAGTGATAATATTATTAATAATATAATTTTAAAATTGCGAAAAAAACCACTCAAACGTTTAATTTGAAGGGGAAAAAGTAGGATAGTTAAGATGTTAAAACTTGAAAGTCAAGAAGGGGGCTGAATGGGTCAAAAAGGGGGAGGGGCACTGAATTTCGTGCCTAATTTTTTGGTGCCCAATTTTGTTGAAAATGATAATATAAATAATTATAATTTAGTCCCTGCACTTTATAGTATTTATAAGATTAATCATTAAGCTTCAATTATAAATACTCTAACCCATTTAGTTTCAAAACCATCCCAAATCATTTCTTTCTCCCAATACTAGAGAGCTTTCTTGTGAGTGTTTTGTAATCACCTGTAAATTTTTTCTCTTTATTAAAAGATCTGCAGCAGTTCGGAGACGTAGGTAAAATTGGTTGAACTCCGTTATCAATTTCGGGTATTATTTTTTCGCTTTTATTTCGCATTCTCACTAATCTGGTTATATGGAAATTACTCATTTTAATTCCCAACAACTGGTATCAGAGCTTTTGGTGGTTAATTTTGTCAGTTTTTCTTCGAGGTTATTATTCACATGAATAGTGAATAGTAAAATTTGGTCGGCGATACGAGTTTGTCGACAGAGGTGTTCTAATACACGGTGGTTCGCAAGAATTGTCAGAAACTATCCAAAAGAAGCCAGATTCGTGTATGAGCGATGGCTGCAGACGAATGGAATGTGAAAATTTAAAAGTTCGATGGTGCGAACTTTGGCTTTTAGAAGATACAGATTGAAGAGTTTCTGTACCAGAAAAATCTATATCAACCTCTCTCATGAAAGCAACTAGAGGGCATGAAGAATGAAGACTGGACTCTTTTCGACAGACAAGCACTCGGAGTTTTCCGACTGACATTATCCTGTAATGTTGCTTTCAACATAGCAAAGGAAAAGACCACGGCGGGTCTTATGGGGACTCTCTCCAGTATGTATGAGAAGTCATCGGCCTCAAACAAAGTTCACTTGATGAGGCGATTATTCAATTTGCAGATGACGGAAGAGGCATCAGTGGCTCAACACCTAAATGAACTCAACACAATCACAACCCAGTTTAGTTCCGTGGAAATTGAATTCGATGATGAAGTTTAAGCTTTAATTATCTTATCATCTCTACCAGACAGTTGGAATGCTATTGTTACAGCAGTCAGCAGCTAATCGAGAAATAGTAAATTGAAATTTGACGATGTTCGAGATCTGGTATTGAGTGAAGAAATTCGACGGAGATAATCGAGTGAAGCATCAAGCTCCTCAGCCTTGCACACGAAGTCTAGAGGGAGAAATTCATAAATAAATTCAAATTGTGGCAGATCGAAATCCAGAACGGGAAAATCAAGAACGGGAAAAAAAGATTTTAACTGTTATAATTGTGGCAAGAATGATCACTTTAAAAGAGATTGTCGAGCACCGAAGAAAGATATCGGTGCACAGGAATCTGCCAACATGACAGAAGAGACATGTGATGGAATGATTCTAAGCGTCAACAGTCCGATTGAATCATGGATCTTGGATTCAGGGGCATCTTTCCACTCCACCCCATGCCAAGAAATCATTGAGAACTATGTCAGTGGTGATTTTGGGAAGGTTCATCTAGCTAATGATGAAACCTTGAAGATCATCGGAAAATGAGACATCTTATTAAAGTTGCAAACCAGACCACCTGGAAGCTGAAATGAGTGAGACATATTCCTGGCCTCAAAAGAAATTTGATTTATGTAGGACAGCTTGATGAAGAAGGATATAATACAATACTTTCATGTTGTGAATGGAAGATTACCAAAGGAGCACTCGTCATCGCTCGTGGTAAGAAGACTGATACTCTCTATGTAACCTCAAATTTAGAGAATAACATTGCAATAGCAGATGTTGATGGAAAATCAAACCTATGGCACCAAAGGCTTGGCCATATGAGCGAGAAAGGGATGAAGACACTTTTGTCAAAAGGGAAGCTGTCCGATCTAAAGAATATAGATGTCGGACTATGTGAGGATTGTATCTTTGGCAAACAAAAGAAAGTCAGTTTTGCAAAGATTGATAAGACACCCAAGGCTGTAAAGTTAGAGTTGGTTCATACTGATGTATGGGGACCATCTCCAGTTCTATCTCTTGTAGGCTCACTATATTATGTCACCTTCATCGATGATTCTACAAGGAATGTGTGGGTTTATTTTATGAAGAATAAATTAGAAGTCTTTGATACCTTCAGAAAATGGAAGGCCATGGTGGAAAATGAGATTAGTCTGAAATTCAAGCGGTTGAGGTCTGATAATGGAGGAGAGTACAAAAATAGCGGATTCAGATAATTTTGCTCAAACAATGGGATCAAGATGAAGGCAACAGTTCCCATGACACCGCATCATAATGGTGTAGCAGAGCATATGAACATAACTCTGAATGAACGTGCCAGAAGCATGAGGATACATGCCGGATTGCCCAAATTGCTATGGGCTGAAGCTATCAACACTACAGCTTACCTGATCAACTGTGGGCCCTCAGTTCCCTTGGATGGTGGAATACCAGAGGAAGTTTGGAGCAAGAAAGAAATAAACCTTTAACACTTAAGAGTGTTTAGTTGTATTTCTTATGTACACATAAATTATGCTGAAAGAAGTAAACTTGACGCCAAGTCCAACAAATGTATCTTTGTTGGTTATGGTGGTAATGAGTTCGATTACCGGTTTTAGGACTATGAAAATCAAAAGATCATCAGAAACAGATATGTTATTTTCAATGAGAATGTGATGTACAGAGACAGGTTAACCGTAGAATCAAATAGCTCCAATACCGAAGCTGAAACAAAGAAATTTACTGAGTTTGAGGAGATTTCTGGAAATGATGTTCAGATCAATCCTGAAGCAGTTCAAGAAAAACCAGGCACACCAGAACTGAGACACTCCTCCAGAATTCCTAAACCAACCCATCGTTATTCGTCTTCTTTGCACTACTTGTTGCTGACTGACAATTGTGAACCAGAGTGCTATGATAAAGCAATGCTGGTAGAGGATTTAGTCAAGTGTGAGTCTTTCATGAAAGATGAGATGAACTCACTTATGTCAAATCAGACGTGAGAATTAGCTGAATTACCACCAGGCAAGAAAGCGCTCCATAACAAGTGGATTTATAGGATCAAATAAGAGCACGATTGGAGCAAACACTACAAAGCAAGATTGGTTGTCAACGGTTTTGAGCAAAAAGAAGGTTTTGACTACAATGAAATTTTCTCTCCAGTCGTGAAGATATCTACAATCAGACTGGTGTTGAAAATTATAATTGCAGAAAATTTATATCTTGAGCAATTAGATGTAAAGACAGCTTTCCTTCATGGTGATTTGGAGGAAGAAATCTATATGAGGCAGCCAGAAGGCTTCATAGAGGCAGACAAGAAAAACTTGATATGCAGGTTAAAGAAGAGCTTGTATGGTTTAAAACAAGCTCCTAGACAGTGGTACAAGAAGTTCGATATCTTCATGAGTAGCAGTGGTTTTACCAGATGCCAAGCAGATCATTGTTGCTACATCAAGAGGTTCGACAACAGCTTCATTATTTTATTATTGTACGTTGATGACATGCTCGTTGCAGGCTCAGTCATGCAAGAGATTATAAACTTGAAGCAAAAATTGTCAAAGCAGTTTGCAATGAAATATCTAGGCGCTGCAAAGCAGATTCTTGGGATAAGGATCAAGAGAGACACAAAGTCAGGGACTTTGATATTATCACAGGCTGAGTACATCAACAAAGTACTCTCCAGGTTCAACATGCAAGATGCTAAACCAGTAAGTACACCTTTAGGTGTTCATTTTAGACTCTCCAAAGAACAGTCACCAAAGACGAAAAAAGAACATGCACACATGGTGAATGTGCCGTAAGCAATTGGAAGTCTAATGTATACCATGGTTTGTACTAGACCAGATATTGCTCAAGCAGTGGGAGCTGTTAGCAGGTACATGAATAATCCAGGCAAGGTACATTGGGAAACAGTCAAATGGATCCTTATATATCTGCGGGGTACTACAAACAAAACACTGTTTTAAAGGTGGAGATACGATACTGACATGCTATGTAGATGTTGACTTAGTCAGAAATGTTAACATTAGAAGGAGCACTACAAGGTATGTCTATACTCTAGGAGGTACTGCAGTGAGTTGGGTTTCTCAACTACATATGATATTTGCTCTCTCTATAACTGAAGCAGAATTTGTTGTTGTTACAGAAGCCAGCAAGGAGATGGTTTGGCTCCAAAGTTTCTTGGAAGAGTTAGACAAGAAACAAGAAAACAATGTCTTGTATTGTGACAGTCAAAGTTCTATCCATCTAGCGAAGAATCTGTCTTTTCATTCCAAGACGAAGCACATACAATTGCAATATCATTTTATCTGGTCTCTTTTGGAAGATGAGATTTTGAAACTTGAAAAGATTAGTGGAGCTCAAAATCTGGCAGACATGTTAACAAAGACGGTGACTACGGACAAACTGAAGTTGTGTTCAGCTTCAGTTGACATGCTACAGTAACAAGAGCATAATTGATCGAGGTGTGAAGACAAATTAAAATCAGTCTTCATGTGGGAGATTGTTGAAACTTGAAAGTTAAGAAGGGGGGCTGAATGGGTTAAAAGGGGGGAGGGGCATTGAATTCGATGCCCAATTTTTTGGTGTCCAATTTTGTTGAAAGTGATAATAGGAATAATTATAATTTAGTCCCTGCACTTTATGATATTTATAAGATTGGTCCTTAAACTTCAACTATAAATACTCTAACCCATTTAGCCTCAAAACCATATCAAATCATTTTTTTTCTCCCAATACTAGAGAGTTTTCTTGTGAGTTGTGAGTATTTTGTAAACACCTATAAATTTTCTCTCTTTATTAAAAGATCTGCAACAGTCCGTAGACGTAGGTAAAATTAATTAAATTCCGTTATCAATTTCAGATATTATTTTTTCACTTTTATTTCATATTCTCACTAATTTAATTATAAAAAAATTACTCGTTTTAATTCCCACCCATCAAAGTCAGAATAAGATTTAAGTGAGAGATGCAACCAAATGTTTAATTTGATGTCCTGATTCGACTCTTATCAGACTGGACAAGAAGCCAACTTTTGTCGGGAAAAAAAGGCTTTCCCATAAACAAAACGTGTCTGTTTGGTCACTTCCTTTCTCTTCACTTCTTTTAATGGTGGATCGTGGATACCATTTTCATCACATATATTTTTTTGCGGTCAGCTTACTTAGATTGGTCAGATTAAGGTAACAGTATATATATGCCCCACAGGTGTCAGCTGCAGACTTTCACTGGTCTTTATAAGATAAGTATGCATTAGGAGACTCCACGTTTCCAGCTGGCAATGGCTATGACATCTGCAAATGTACATCGCACAAATGCAACTAACGAATTAGCTATGCCCATAATTCCTCGCTACAGGTCTCTTTCTCTCTTCCCATGTCCAATATTTATTATCGTTATCCCTCCATTAAACTAATTGTTTATCACTTCCTTTTCTCTCTTTTTTTCCTCAGAGAAACGTGCTATTGAAGACAAGGCCATTCCAAGATGGGTACCATCAAGGATATGCTGAGCAAGATTTTGCCGGTTACTTGTATTAAGGTGGCGGAGTTTGGTTGTGCTTCCGGTCCCAACACCTTCATCCCAATATATGAAATTATGAATACAGTCAGTAGGATTTGCCAGCAACAACACTGGGAATCACCTGAGCTTCAGGTGTTACTAAACGATCCCCACAATGACTTCAACACTGTCTTTAGATCTGTTCCTACAATGCGAGGCTCATGGAAGACAAGGGACACCCAAGGGGACCTTGTTTCATAACCGGGGTAGCAGGTTCCTTTTACCAAAGACTTTTTCCAAGCAAGACCATTCACTTTGTTCATTCTTCTTATTCTCTTCATTGGCTCTCAATGGTTTGTAAACAATTCTAACGAATGTTATTGCATAGGAACATTAATATTACATTACATTACAAATTTCATCACAAATTTGATCCACAACTTTCTTCTCACACCTATTTTAATCATTAAAATTTAAACTCTTTTAATTTACTCACTAATCTTTGATTTACTCTTATGTTGTTAACTCTGCCATTAAATACTTGATGGCCTTATGATTGAACATTTTCCTTTTAAAGGTTATGAAATGACCTCAAAATTTTGTTATTTTTGTGTAAAACTCCTAAGTTTAAATTTTCTTTGATTTTTTAACAATAAATCATATTCTTCCATATTTCATCAGTGGAGAGGTAGAGAAAAAAATGAGTTGTATAGATCATAGTTATTTAGAGTTTTATGAGTTTTGGGTTTAAATTGAATTTCGTGAATTTTAAAGTGATTTGAGTAAAATTTAAACTGATAGAGTGGTAGGAGAGAACGAGACAAGTTTGCCAATATCTTGAATTATCATAGACTATATCAAATAGTGGTAATTACAGCATCGATGTGAGATATAGATGAAATTGTAAAATTTTCATAATAAAAGAAAGAAAGAGTGACTTAGGAATCATATGAATTGATATGGACTGATTTTTATTGACATGTCATTCATATGTTATTTTTTTATATTTTTTATTTTATTTTCTTTCTCTGAAGATAAAAGTGTGACTTAGGAATCACATGAATTGATGTGGACTGATATTTATTAACATGGCATTTATATGCTATTTTTTATATAACGTCTGAGTGATCAAGATAAAAATAAATCAAAAGTTTAATAAGTAAATTACAATATTTTAAATTTTAATGACTAAAATTGTCACACCCCAATATGAGGTTAGATTTCTTTAAGTTTAAATATGTGAAATGATATGAAGTTAGTTGGCAAATAATTATTTTATCATATCTTTATATTATTAAACAAATTGATGAGG